GTGAGGAGAACTGGAAGCCGAAGCGCTGAAGGACCTGCTGCACCATGTGTGACTGAGTCAGGGTAATGGTGCGGCGTGCTCTGTCCCGGGTGATCTGCAAGCCAAGGTAGCTACGCAGCTCACCAAGGTCAGTGCAGGTGTGTCTCTTCTGCAGCTCCGACTTCACACGAGCGAGTGCCTCAGTGTCAGCAGTAGCAAAGACCAAGTCGTCGACGTACACGAGGATGTAGAACGGCGGCAGCGATGTGTCTGTGCGCAGAACCAGTGACGGGTCAGCAGTGGAAGGAGCAAACCCAAGGGCCGCAAGTGTAGTCCTCAGTGTGTCGTGCCACTCGCGCGGCGCCTGGCGGAGACCGTAGACTGGCCGCCGGAGGCTCCACTGGGTACCAGGAGGGAACGACCCAGTGAAGCCAGGAGGGCGGCGCAGCCAGATCTCCTCGTGGAGGCTGCCCTGCAAGAAAGCTGTGCTGAAGTCAAGAGAGTGCAGCTCGTAGTCACGCTGAGCAGCAACGTGCAGCAACACCCGAAGAGTGGTCATCTTCGGGGTGGGGGAGAAGGTCTGAAAGAAGTCAACCCCCTGACGCTGACTGAAGCCTCTAGCAACGTAACGAGCCTTGAAGACAGGTGGAGAACCTGGCGGCCGCTTCACCCTGAAAATCCACATGCCATCGACGATGTTCGCCCCAGGAGGGGGAACCTCGTCGACGTAGGTGCCTGTGGATTTCCAGGATGCCATCTCTGCGTCCATGGCTGTCTGCCACTGAGAGGAGTAGGGACCCGAGATCGCCTCTGCGTAAGAGCGCGGAGTGGGGATGTCTAGTGCATCCGGGTCTCCCTCAGGGGCAAGCAACCAGGCCACGAGATGAGGTACAGCAGCCGCAAGAGAGTCAAAGTCCTCCTGCCTGTCCTCAAGGACGTCCGTGCCAAGAGCACACTCACCCCCGACGGACGGAGGACAGACAGACTTAGACTCAGCAACAAGGCGAGCAGCGTAGTCTAGACGACAGGCAGCAGCAAAGTCGACAAGCTCAGCGACCAGGGCAGACGCAGCAGCAGACTCAAACGACGGGTCAGTGACAACAGTGGCGAGAAGACGCGTAACAGTAGGGTGGGCAGCACGAACACTGTCAGACTCAGGGTCGGGAACGTCAGGAAGAGAAGACGCAGGAGGAGACGGTAGGGGGACACGCTGTGGACCAGTGGAAGGACGAAGGGCCATAATGTGCGTGCCAGGAACAGGAGGAGGACGCGGACGCGCGACACGACGACCAGTGGGACCAGTGCGCGCAGTGCGAGCAGCGCGAACAGGCGAGGCAGGACGAGACGCAGGCTCACGACGCTCCGTAAGCGAGTCCGGCTGTGCAGTGTAAGGCACCGGGGCAGGGAGAGACCTGGGAAGACCAGACACAAGGTGGCGACGGTGCATGCCACGGAGGCGTGGCAAGGAGGGGTGACCCAGGCGGTGGTGCCAGAGAAGAGTCTGGTGCGACAGGGAACGACACTCACAGGCGTGGGCTACCAGACCTGACGCGGACACCTGACCGACAGCAGCGACCTGGGGAGAACCAGTGGTCAGTGTGTAGAGACTCGACTCCGGCTGACGGGTAAACGTAGCCAGGTGACGGCCGGTCCTGGAGCACGTGAGGATCGCCACACGCTGTCCTCCAGGGGTAAAGGTGTCAACCCACTGATCCTGGATGACAGCGTTGCTCACCAGGTTCGTCGAGAACGAGGGGAGGTGGAAACCCGACAACGAGCCAGACGGAACCGCCGGACACGGGAGCACAGTGGTGGACCGTGCAAGAACTGGGCCCCCCGAGGGGTCAGCCAAGGAGACTGGGACCGGTGCAGGAAGCGGTGTGAGCTCAGTACTGTCACGAAAGAAACAGCGGGAAGCACCTGAGTCAAGGGTGAAGGTGTGCAAGGCCTCAGCCGGTGCAGTACCTGAGAGAGCAGTCTCTGTGGGTGCTGTACCTGAGAGAGCAGACTCACAAGCAGCAGGGACAGTACTGGAGGGAGCAGCCACAGAGGGCACCATACCAGAGAGAGCAGACTCACTAGTACCTAGGGCAGCGGGCTCTATACCTGGGTCAGGCGGCACACACAAGTAACAGTCTCCCTCGGCACTAACAGTCAATGCATACATGGCAGCAATAATAGCATCATAGTCAAGAGCAAAGATATCAACACCAGCCCTCATCAGCTCAGCCCAGCGGGGGCGCTCAACATCCTCGCCCATCTCCTCACGCCAAGCGTCGTCAAGGCGGAAGAAGCAGCGGTACTGAGTGTGGAACTTTCCACACTGCTGCCCCTTGCGATCACCTGTGCGAATGACATAGGAACAGCGGCCACTGCCCCCCGACGTCCCACGCTGAGCAAGCCACTCACGAAGCTGCTGGGTCGTCTGGGGACGCTGCTGCTGCTGGGAGCTCTGGCCCGAGCCGGTGCCTCCACTCCGACCTCCACCGCCGCCACTACCTCCGCTCCGACCGCCACCGCCGCCACCGCCACCGCCGCCACTGCCGCCGCTGCCACCACCGCCACCGCCACTGCTCCCGCCGCCGCCCCCGCCTCCGCCGCCGGCCCCACTCCCACCAGCACTCCCGCCACCGCTCCCTCCAGCACCGCCTCCCCCCCCACCTCCCCCACCCCCTCCCCCCCCAGCGCCACCCCCGCCACCCTTGCCCCCCTTGCCCTTGCCGGTGCGGCGCCTCCCACCAGGAGCAGAAGCAGCGCCAGCAGACTCAGCACCAAGGAAGTCAACAGCAGCAGCAGTAGCATAGGAGGGAGCGAGGGGAGAGGGAGAGCACCCCTCAAAGATGGGGGTGCGAGGAGCGCCGCGAGCAGCACCTACAGCTACAATGCTCTTCTCGGCTGCTAGCAGCTTCTCCTCTAGGAGGGCGACAGTGAGCTCAGTGGGACAGCGAGCAAGGAAATAGTCGCGCACTGAGCTGAGGGTGTCAGGGAGACGGGTGACTATGAAGTGGAGTGTCCAGTACAGTGGAGGGGGGTTCTTAGCGCAGAACTCGGTGGGAAGGGCGGCACGCAGGCGAGCGTCACTAGTGCGAAGGTGGGTGATAAGATCGGCGACTGTAGCAAAGGTGGACAGCTCAGGGAACAGGTAAGGCAGCATGAGGCGGCTAAGCTCGGCTGTGGCAGGCGAGGAGTAGCGAGCAACGACAGCGTCGTAAAGGGCCTTAGCGGTTTTGCAGTCGCCAAAATGCTCGAGCTCAGCTAACGGCAGGTGACTGCGAATGGCTAGGCGAGCAGCAGCGTCACGCGTCTGCCAGTGGGAACGGGCACTAAGCTCGGCTGTGGCAGGAGGGGCAGGCGCAGCACCAGATGCGTAATCATAGAGTGACACGTGCTCCTTGCTATCGCTCAGGAGGAACAGCTGCAGGTCATCTAGCCAAGTGGTGAACTGCACAGGGCGGCCCTCAGCATCGAAGGACAGCACGCGGATGGAAGCCATCGCGACAGCACGTCAGAGCAAAGCAAGCAGCCGCAGCAGGGGAAGGCTGGCGCTACGGGCAGGCGGCGCTGCAAGCAGGTAGCTCGGTGGGGAGCGCGGCGGGCGGGCGGCGCTCTGAGCGGGCAGCGTGGCAGGTAGCGCGGCGGGCAGGCGGCGCTGCAAAGAGGCAGCGCGACGGGCGGGCGACGCTGTGAGCGGGCAGCGCGGCGGACGGGCGGCGAAGCGGGCAGCGCGGCGGGCAGGCGGCGCTGCAAGCGGGCAGCGCGGCGGGCGGGCGACGCTGCGAGCGGGCAGCGCGGCGGGCGGGCTGCGAAGCGGGCAGCGCGGCGGGCAGGCGGCGCTGCAAGCGGGCAGCGCGGCGGGCGGGCGACGCTGCGAGCGGGCAGCGCGGCGGGCAGGCGGCGCTGCAAGCGGGCAGCGCGAGCGGGTAGCGCGGCGGATGGGCGGCGCTACTGGCGGGCAGCGCTGCGGGTACAGCGCAGCGAGCGGGCAGCGCGACTGGCAGCGCGACGGGCAGCGCGGCTGGCGACGCGCGGCGCGACGGGCAGCGCTACGGGCGGCGCGACGAGCAGCGCGGCGGGCGAGGGCGCTAACGAGGGGCGCTAACGAGGGCGCTAACGAGGGCGCTAACGAGAGGCGCGCGAGGGCGCTAACGAGGGCGCGCGAGGGCGCTAACGAGGGCGCACGAGGGCGCTACGAGGCTAGGGCACGGGGTAGCGTGGTAACCGCATGCGAGCGGTGGTGGGCCCTAAAAAACGGTCGGTAGGTCCTAGGGACCTCCTGCTCTGAATACCATGTTAACAGAACTAGGCAAGAATGATGCATTGAATGAAACAGTTGGGTACAAGTAGCTAACCCTAGTTGGGGTTGTACCCCATATTGGCTACCCCATTACAGCCTACCAACATATAACACATTACAATTTAACAAGCCTCACATGGGAACGCTCCATTCCATCTGTCACAATCACTCCCACCGCTTCACCTGCAGCCATGCCTCTTTAGTAGATTTTCTTCTCCATCCGCAACTGATGGCTCTAGTACACGAGACTTCTGTTTTAAATCACAAGTAACTTCATTTGAAACCACTATTTTTCCGTCAATCGATCCCTCCCTCCCTCCCCTTCCCCTGCCTGCAGCCACACCTCTTTGGTGGATTCTTCATTCACCCACAACTGATGGCTCAAGGACAGGAGAGGAGACATTTGATACTATGACTGGTAAAAGATAAATACCAGGTTGCTCTGTAAAGTGGATGGGCAGATGAGGTGGGGATGGAGGGGGCTGTAGAGTGGTGTAGTGTGGTATCGCAAGCAACCGTTGCAATCAATGCAGACCTCAAAATGCTATCAGGCTTATGCGATACAGTCAGCTAAAACAAAAAGAACAGAAAAAGGTTCCACGGTCCTGCTGTGTGCTGACTCCTCAAAATGCAATCAGGCTTAGGTGGTACATTCAGCTAAAACAAAAAGAACAGAAAAAGGTTCCACCAGTTGCCCTTGGTAAATACTTGTGATCCTCGGCCCTAATCAAGCACTATTGAAGCCCAAAAGGTTTGCTGCAATTTGCCGAGCCGACAACCGGGAACCAGCCAACCCTACTGCTCCTGCTGGTGGCATCACTGCTGCTGATGATGGTGATGGTGTGACGGAGGAGGGCAAGGAGTGGGAGTGGGTGGGAATAATGCGAGGGAAGAGAGAGAACGGGCGGCTGGACACAAGGGCGGCGTTTCTTGTCATGTTGTGGTGGTGGTTGCAGTGTGGGATTGATGAATGAGATAAGCTGGTTGGGGGAGACAGGAAGAGGTGGGAGGGTGGAGAGAGGGAGAAGGGAGTGGGGGTCAACGTGAGATGGTGGAGGGCTGATAGGACAGGAGGGTCACAGTGAGGGTTTCTGAGTTTATGAATGAATAGCCATCACACGCGGATTGTATAAAATTGGTTGTAGCCTGCAAAAGCTACTAATGAATGCGTGGTGGTGTAATGAGGGGAGGGGGAGGCACAGAGCGATGGAGGGGGAGGTTGAATGGTGGAAGTGGTGGTGGTGGTGGTGGTGGTGGTGGTGGTGGTGGTGGTGGTGGTGGTGGTGGTGGTGGTGGTGGTGGTGGTGGTGGTGGTGGTGGTGGTGGTGGTGGTGGTGGTGGTGGTGGTGGTGGTGGTGGTGGTGGTGGTGGTGGTGGTGGTGGTGGTGGTGGTGGTGGTGGTGGTGGTGGTGGTGGTGGTGGTGGTGGTGGTGTGGTGGTGGTGGTGGTGGTGGTGGTGGTGGTGGTGGTGGTGGTGGTGGTGGTGGTGGTGGTGGTGGTGGTGGTGGTGGTGGTGGTGGTGGTGGTGGTGGTGGTGGTGTGGTGGTGGTGGTGGTGGTGGTGGTGGTGGTGGTGGTGGTGGTGGTGGTGGTGGTGGTGGTGGTGGTGGTGGTGGTGGTGGTGGTGGTGGTGGTGGTGTGGGTGGTGGTGGTGGTGGTGGTGGTGGTGGTGGTGGTGGGGGGGGTGGTGGTGGTGGTGGTGGTGGTGGTGGTGGTGGTGGTGGTGGTGGTGGTGGTGTGGTGGTGGTGGTGGTGGTGGTGGTGGTGGTGGTGGTGGGGGGTGGTGGTGGTGGTGGTGGTGGTGGTGGTGGTGGTGGTGGTGGTGGTGGTGGTGGTGGTGGTGGTGGTGGTGGTGGTGGTGGTGGTGGTGGTGGTGGTGGTGGTGGTGGGGAGGGAGACAGGGTGGGGTGACATTGGGGAATGGTGGAGTGGTGGAGGTAAGGGAAGGGGGCGGGGCTGGGTGCAGGATGGCGGGTGTGGTGAGGAGGACAACGAGAAGAGGCGGGGGAATGGGGAGGTGCGGAGAATGGGGGTGGGGGGGCTAAGAGTGAGTGTACAAGGCGGGGAGGGTGTTTTGCAGGGAAAAAAAGGGAGGAGAAGGTTGGGCTGGTGTTGGTGGGGGCAGAGAGGAGGGGGGGGGGGGCGGATGGGGGAGAAAAGGGTGGTGGGGAACGGGGCGGGGGGGAAAGCCTTATGACCAATAAGAACGGGTCGAGGATAGAAACGGGAGAAAAGAGCGCGAGAAACGGAAGGTATGTTGAAATCACTTTTGAGGATTCTCAGGAGGAAGGAGTGGTGGTGGAGTGGGGAAGGACCGGAATGGACGACGAGGGGAGAGAAGGGCACAAGGCGCGCCAAGCAGAACTAGACGAGCCAAGAGACAAGAAGAAGCATGCCACGTGTCAGCCCATCAGGCTACGAGCATGCCACGTGTCAGCCCGTCAGGCTACGAGCAGAGCATGCCACTTGTCAGCCCGTCAGGCTACGAGCGCTCAACACAAACGAAATGAGTATGACTGTTCATGTTGTTGTAACATTAATCCAACAAAAAGCAGGAAAATCAATCCAGGTCATCAACTTCTCTTGTACCTGCTTACCTACTCAGCCTGCTTACCCACTCAGCCTGCTTACTCATTCCCACCCACCAATGCGAATTTCCCTAGTCAAAGCGAAACTACGTGTAAAGAGTGAAGTTTTGAGAAGTCTCGAAACTACTGGCCGGCCTGTCTGTTAACCTTCCCTGTCGGCTAAGTGGCTTTATCCGGAAGGTAACGTTACCAGCTAGCCGATTGGACCGTCCTGCGCATTGTGCGTCGCGCTCGCTGCGCACTCCCCCTCACCCTCCCCCTCCCCCTCCCCCTCCCCCTCCCCCTCCCCCTCCCCCTCCCCCACACCCTCCCCCTCCCCCTCCCCCTCCCCCACACCCTCCCCCTCCCCCTCCCCCTCCCCCTCCCCCTCCCCCTCCCCCTCCTCCACAAACTCCCCTTCCCCTCCGCCACATCTTCCCCTTCTTCTCCGCCCTGCCCTCCCCCTCCCCTCCGCCACACCTGCGTCGCCGCCTCCCCTTGCTTCTGATTCGACTCGAAACTGCACCACGCTGCACCGCGCGGCGCAGCTTGCGTTCTATACGACACTCGGATAAAAAGACCCACCTGCGATGTCTTGTGGTTCAAGAGATTACTTCAAAATCTGAAGGAGCCTCGTTATAAGGCGGATCAGAACCTTTTGAGACGTCTTCAAATACGACACACTCGGATAAAAAGACCCACCTGCGATGTCTTGTGGTTCAAGAGATTACTTCAGAATCTTCTTAAAAGGCCTCATTAAGGGCGGATCAGAACCTACCCGTCCACAGTCTCGGTGTGAAACCCTTGGCGCTGTTTGTGCTTGGGGTTCGTCGCGCACACCACGTACACCCGCCCTCGCTAGCGGCTGTACCGCACAGCACCGCGCTGCACCGCACTGTACAGCCCGCGATTCCTAATACCCACCTGTCGGCAATAATATCGGTGTGAAACCCCTGGCGCTGCTTGTGCTTGGGGTTGGTCGCGCACACCACGTACACCCGCCCTCGCCGCCGCACCACGCGGCACGCCTCGCACAGCCGCTTCACCGACGCGCGAACCTTCATCGCGACACACACGCGCTGCGGCTGCTGCTGCGTACCCTGCTCTGCTGCTAATCGCGCTGCGAGAAACGAACTCCGTAATGATCCAGCCCGATATATCTGGCGCTGCTGTTGCTACAGTGAGTGTGCTGCTATAAGCAGGGCAACCGGGACAGTGAAGTGTACGCTTGTGATAAACATTTTAACACCAGAAAGTAGAATTCGGAAATTTCAGCCCGCTGATTTGCTACATTCTTCAAAACCAATTTCAAGCATTCTAAAAAAGCCATTCAAGTGAATGGCAAGTTGTTCACAATGGACAACACTTATCAAAATATGACACACAATTGCCCGGCACTAGCTTTGCCACCAGCGTGTGAACATATATGGAGACTTCCTTTCCTGAGTTGAATCCAGCACGAGCAATCGTACGTGCTTGCTCTCCTCTTGGGCTCTATCCAGCTTTAACTTCCTGCCTCCTAACGAGGCACAAATCCATCTCGAATCATCGAATCCGCCCAGGAGATTCAACCAGACGACAAAACGAACTAGCAGTTATGAGGCAGCGTGCTTGCTCTGTGTGTGCTGCTTCAGGCCCTCTTCAGACTTGAACTTCCTGAGAGGCCACAGCGCATGGACGGGGGACAGTAAGGAGGGGTTGAGGAGGGAAGGGAATGAGAGAGGGGAAGGGAGTGAGTGTTTGGGTTGGGTCTGTGTGTGCTGCTTCAGGCCCTCTACAGACGAACTTCCTGAGAGGCCAGAGTGTGTGGTGGGAGGGAGGGGAGAGAGTGAGAGGGGAGAGAGTGAGAGGGGAGAGAGTGAGAGGGAGAGAGTGTGCTGCTTCAAGCCCTCTTCGGACTTGAATTTTCTGGAAGGCCACAACAGTGAACGGGGGACAGCAGAGTGGGGAGGGGGGAAGGGAGGGCGAGAGGGAGGGAGGGTGTAAGGTATCTACAATGCATGCCTGTGCCCGAATTTATAAACTACCATGATGTATTGCATTGCATGTTACATCCAATGAAGGACCATTCGGGTGGAAGGGAGGGGGTGAGGGTGGAAGGGAGGGAGGATGAAAAACGCTGAGCTCAGCATGTCACATGGGTCAGCATGAACAATCCAATTCCCGACCCAAAAAAAAAAAAAAAAAAAAAAAAAAAACCGAAGCATGAGGCGCCTAAACAAAGACAGCATGTCACATGGGTCAGCATGAGCCGCTTTTGAGAAATTCCCAGAAACCAGCAACCAGACGAGAAGAACAGAAAGAGAAATAGAGACAGATACAGCAAGAGGCACTCACTTGTTGCACGCTCCGCACATGATCCCGCTTTCAGGAGTTGCTGCCTTGGCTGCTGTGGCTGAGGCGACTCCAAATTAGACACTCAGAAACACTCAGAGGCACTCACTTGTTGCACGCTCCGCACACAATCCCGCTTTTCAGGAGTTGCTGCCTTGGTTGCTGTGGCTGAGGCGCCTCCAAATTAGAAACTCAGAAACACTCAGAGGCACTCACTTGTTGCACGCTCCGCACACAATCCCGCTTTCAGGAGTTGCTGCCTTGGCTGCTGTGGCTGAGGCGCCTCCAAATTAGACACTCAGAAACACTCAGAGGCACTCACTTGTTGCACGCTCCGCACACAATCCCGCTTTCAGGAGTTGCTGCCTTGGCTGCTGTGGCTGAGGCGCCTCCAAATTAGACACTCAGAAACACTCAGAGGCACTCACTTGTTGCACGCTCCGCACACAATCCCGCTTTCAGGAGTTGCTGCCTTGGCTGCTGTGGCTGCTTTAGCGGTTGCTGAACCCTCCTTAGCAGGAGTCCCTGCTGCCTTTCCTGCCTTGGCTGCTTTTGCAGGAGTGGACGCTTTCCTTTTCACTGAGAGAGAGGGAACTGAGAGAGACGCACTCACTTGTTACATTTCCCGCACACAATCCCGCTTTCAGGAGTTGCTGTCTTGGCTGCTGTGGCTGCTTTACCCAGCGCTGAACCCTCCTTAGCAGGAGTCCCTGCTGCCTTTCCTGCCTTGGCTGCTTTTGCGGGAGTGGACGCTTTAGCAGGGGAGGCCGCAGGCGCTGCTTTGGCGAGAGCAGAGGCGGCTTTGGCCAGTGTGGCGCCAGGAGTGGGGGGGTTGGGCACTGGCTTGGCTGGTGTTGGAGCCGGGGCGCGGGGGACAGGTGTGGTTGCTGGTGTGGTGGGCTGGATGGGGATGCAAACAGAAAAAGACAATGGGATACAGGACAAGAAAAGGGGGGTTGGGCACTGGCTTGGCTGGTGTGGGCGACGGGGCACGGGGGACCGGCGTGGCTGCTGCCAGCCATGGTGGGCTGGGGGATGGGAGACGGGGGCGGGGGGCCGGGCAGGATGAGCCTCAATCTTGCATTATCATTGGACACGGGATGTGAGAAGCATTCACATGGACATCACATGCCTGCCTATGCCAGAAGCACGTGCAATACATCACCATTCACATGACATCTCATCGACACATCTCACCATCGCCTTATCTTCTGAGACGTCTCAAAACATCATTTTTAGCACGTGCAATACATCAGCATTCACATGACATCTCACCATCGCCTTATCTTCCTTGCCCGGGGTCCCCTCCTCCTTCCCCTTCTTCCCCCTTCTCCTCTTCCCCTTCCCCTCGCCTGCCTTTCCCCCAGGCTGAAGTCCCCTGTCCTGCCTGCTCCCCATCCTTCTCACTGCCCTCAATCTCCCCCGCTTTCCTCTTCCCATCCACACCGTTTGCACTCCCTCCCTTTGCCCCCTCGGTCCCCTTAGCACTCCCTCCCTTCGCCTCCTCTGATCCCTCAGCGCCCTCAGCGCCCTCTGCGCCCTTGCTCCCTTCGCCTGTCACTTTCTCAGCCTTCTTCTTCTCTTCTTGTGCTGCTGCGAGCGTTGCCAGCTTTGCCGCTGCCTTCTGAGCCTTCTTCGCTTCTGCAATTGGGGACCAAGAGTGGGGGAGGCCATATGAGGAGGTGGGGGGGGGGGACGAGAGACGGTGATGCTCTTACAGCTGCTGCTGTGAGCTTTGCCAGCATTGCTGCTGCCTTCTTAACCTTCTTCGCTTCTGCAATTGGGGACCAAGAGTGGGGGAGGCCATATGAGGAGGTGGGGGGGGGGGGGACGAGAGACGGTGATGCTCTTACAGCTGCTGCTGTGAGCTTTGCCAGCATTGCTGCTGCCTTCTTAACCTTCTTCGCTTCTGCAATTGGGGACCAAGAGTGGGGGAGGCCATATGAGGAGGTGGGGGGGGGGGACGAGAGACGGTGATGCTCTTACAGCTGCTGCTGTGAGCTTTGCCAGCATTGCTGCTGCCTTCTTAACCTTCTTCGCTTCTGCAATTGGGGACCAAGAGTGGGGGAGGCCATATGAGGAGGTGGGGGGGGGGGGGACGAGAGACGGTGATGCTCTTACAGCTGCTGCTGTGAGCTTTGCCAGCATTGCTGCTGCCTTCTTAACCTTCTTCGCTTCTGCAATTGGGGACCAAGAGTGGGGGAGGCCATATGAGGAGGTGGGGGGGGGACGAGAGACGGTGCTGCTCTTACTGCTGCTGCTGTGAGCTATGCCAGCATTGCTGCTGCCTTCTTAACCTTCTTCGCTTCTGCCATCGAAGAGAGTTAGAACGGGTGGAAAAGAGAGAAATTGGGCTGCCATCTCTGTGCTGTGCGCTGCACTGCTGCTGACTCCCACGAGATAACTCTGATAGAGAACTGACTTTTGAGTCGACTCAAAAGTCGACTGCTTCTGATAGAGAGCGAGACCGGCCCATTCACAAGTGAAGACTCACTTCTCTGGCTAGCTCCGCCTGCAGCGCTGCTATCGCTACTGTGCAGTGCTACTACCTGCAATATACCTGCTACTTGTTCAGATGAAGCAAGTATCACAACAACTGAAACAACCAAGCTTCCCAAGGAGGGCTCACTCTTCGTGGCTAGCTCCGCCTGCAGCGCTGCTATCTCCTTTGCCGCCTCCCTCTCAATCGCCTCCTCATCATCCTCCTCTTCTTCTTCCTCCTCTTCCTCCTCCTCCTCAATATCAGCAAACGGGTCCTCTTGGGCCTCTGCAATCAAGACAACACACACAAACACACATAAACAGATTTAGCATCTCAAGCACGGCCTCTTCCTCCTCCTCCTCAATATCAACAAACGGGTCCTCTGCGACCCTAAACCCTACACAAAAAAAAGGAGTAAAAAAAACACGCACCCACCCACACACACACATGAAAGCCTGTACACCACAAAGTAACCAGCCTATATGGTAGGACGGTGTTTCCCTGTTTCACCGTACCTTCCCCATCCGGATACTCCTGCATGGTCTTGTATCCGCTCAGAAACACACTCACCGTGCCGCCATGCGCCAAAGTGAACGACCGTTCCAGCACCAGCTGCACCCTCGCCTGGTCCTTCTCGCACCACCCCACCTCCCATCCCTTCCCTTCCCTTCCCCATTGACAGTCTATTGGGACTTGGGCCTGTGTCTCACCTCCCCCATCCGGGTACTCCTGCATGGTCTTGTATCCGCTCAGAAACACACTCCCCGTGCCGCCATGAGCCAGAGAGAACGGCCGTTCCAACACCAATTGCACCCTCGCCTGGTCCTTCTCCCCTGCTTGGAGCACGGCCACCACCGCACTGAACCCCTCTGCACTCCCCTTGATCTTCTCATCACCGTTCCCCATCTGCTCGTCCTCCTCCTCGTCACTATCATCCTCAGCAGGTGGGGCGGTGGTGATTGTGACGGCCACTCGCTCGCCTGCCTTGGCAGATGCACCCAGGGCAACCTGAAAGAGAGAAGAGAGAAGATGGAGAGAGTGGGGGGAAACAGTGAGGAGAGGGAATGACAACGAGTGTCAGCAGGTGGGGCGGTGGTGATTGTGACAGCCACTCGCTCGCCTGCCTTGGCAGATGCACCCAGGGCAACCTGAAAGAGAGAAAGGGCGGGACAGAGGGGAGGCAATGGCTAGACTTCCAGGGTTCAGGGTTTTGCGTTACAGTCTATGCAAAAACCACTTCCAGGGTTCAGGGTTTTGCGTTACAGTCTATGCAAAAACCACTTCCAATTTCGGATGTAGCACCACCAAGACCAACGTCTGTATGCCAAGTCTTGAGTCTCTGGTTCATTTTTTAGAATTCTCAAAAACAACCTGCAGCTTCCAATTTCGGTTGTCACACCACCAAGCCAAGTCCAGTCTGTATGTCAAGGCTTGAGTCTCTGCTTCAGTGCTACGTATCAGAGACTTTCCAAGACTTTTGAGCAGACTCAAAAAATCTCACCTTGTTTCAATGGCACATTGTAAGTCGACTCAAAAGTCACCTGGTTTCAGGGTCAGTGCTGCATATCGTGGCCTTTCCGAGACTGGAAACGAGGGTTCCCCCCCTCTGCACTCTTATATGTTGTTGAATGATTGCTGCGCTCGTGACATGCTACAGTGATTGCGCGATACAGTCCCCACCTGAGTAATGTGAACATAGTCCGCAATATCCCGAGGGTCCACTCCCACCGTCTCACCCGCCTTCACCCACGTGCTACAGTAACTGTGAGCTACAGTAACGGCATGCTACAGTAATTGCGCGTTACAGTACCCACCTGAGTAATGTGAACATAGTCCGCAATATCCCGAGGGTCCACCTCCACAGTCTCGCCCGCCTTCACCTCCACGCCTGGTGGGGTGGTGTTTAAACAAGGGGAAGGGAAGGAGGGAGAGGGAGGGAGGGAGGGGGAGGTGTGAGGGGACAAGGCAGAGGTAAGGGAGAGGAGAGGGACTTTTGAGACGTCTCAAAAGAGGGACTTTTGTCTCAAAGGTCCACTTTCTTCCCTGCCTTCACCTCCACGCCTGGTGGCGGGGGAGGAGGAGGGGGGGAGGGGGGAAAGAAGGAGGGGGAGGGGAAGAAAGGAGGAGGGGGAGGGGAAGAAGGACGGGTGCTGAGCTGAGTGGAAGGACAAACAAAGGGCCGGGAACTCTTCAGATCAGACCACTCCACCTGCACCGTCTCGCTCGCCTTCACCTCCACGCGGGGTTTTGTGTGGGGAGGGGAAGGGGACGCGGGGTGAAGACGGGCGGATGCAGACACGGATGGGCAGAGGGATGGGGACGACTGAGTCCGCTCCGCTCCATGTCCACCGTCTCCCCTGCCTTCACCCCCACGCATACATGGGGGGAGAGAGGGGAGGGGGGAAGGAGGGGCGAGAAGAGGGAGGGGGAGGAATGTGATGGTAGCAGAGGGATGGGGACGACTGAGTCCGCTCCGCCTCCACCTCCACCGTCTCCCCTGCCTTCACCTCCACGCCTGGTAGTATTCGCATACGGGCTAATTCTGAGTCGCTTTTGAGAATTCTCAAAAGCCGCTGCACCTCCATCGTCTCACGCGCCTTCACCCCCACGCCTGGTGGTATTCGCATACGGGGAGGGGCAGGGGAAGAAGGGAGTTGGGTGGGTGGGGGACCCTTTTGAGAATTTCTCAAAAGTGACTCCCAAATAGCAGGGGAAGAAGGGTGTTGGGTGCTTCCTTCCACCCTTCTTAGGAACTAAGGGACGGGAACCTCCCCTCCTCTGTCTCGCAGACCTTCACGTCCACACCACACCCGGTGGCGCTTGATTGTAAGGGAGGGAGCGTTAAAGGGGTGGAAGGGGGTGGTGAGAATGAGGGGAGTTGGAGAGGGAACGGGAGGGCAGAAGGCGGGAACAGGAGGAGAGAGAGAGAGGGAAACGGGAGGGAGGTGGGACAAGTAGAATGGCGACCCGGGGGTGAGAGAGGGGGGAAAGGGGAAGGGGGAGTGGAGCAAGAGGGAAGGGGGAGGGGGCCTCGATAACTGAAGGGCGGACTACGAGGACGGTGAAAGGACGGCAAGGGGGAGTGGACGACAATGGGGAGTGGACGGCAAGGGGGAGTGGACGGCAAGGGGGAGTGGACGGCAAGGGCACGTCGATACGCACGGGAGAGACGGCAGGGAGGAAAAAACTAACGTCCCTATCCTCTGGCTACTACTCAATGGGCGCGCCGAGAATCTGGCTACTCGACCTGGCTCATAGCGTATCAGGCGCATTTCCGAGAGTTCCAGATAACCTGTTTAGCGACCTTATCAGATCGTGGCGTCGGAACCTGTTTAGCGTCGGAACGGAACCTGTTTAGCGTCGGAACCTGTTTAGCGTCGGAACCTGTTTAGCGTATACGCAAGAGACTCTGAGAATTCTCAAAAGCGACTCAGCGTAAACGCACAAGACTCAGATAGCTCGTCCTGCTACATGGCCGCTCTTGACGCGATCGCGTCGCGTCTCAACAAAATCGAATGCTGATTCTCACCCCAGAAACGCATCAAGACCGACATTGTGCGTGGTCCCGGTTACACAATGCGAGCGCTGTTCGATGCGCCTCCTGATTTTGATCACGAATCGGCCGCCGCGTCTTGCAACCAAGAACAGTGTTACCCGCAGCGCAGCGAAGGCGCTGTGGATCGGACGGATACTGTTGCGATGGCAGGATCGCGCGCGTGAGTGTGGTTGCGGCTGCGACAGACGGAAGGCGCAGTGGCAGGAGCAGGTGACTGTCTTGTATGAAACTCCAAAATATGGGTCGAACCGGAAATTTCTAGATAACAGAAACTTGAGGAAAATCAAAATCTCTGGGTGGTTTTCCGTGGGGATGGACGAGGAAGGCTTGGGGTTCTGGGTCTTTGGATCCTTAGGGGTTGTTCCGTGTCAGTGGAACACGGGACGGTTGCGAGCGCTGCGAAGGCTCTAAATCAAAAGATGAGATGGAAGTGGAAGCAGATTGGGTGACGAGAGCAACGAGAAAATGTTGTGTACTGAGCGATAAACCGGGTTACCAGTCTGTAACATGCTCTCTGATCTCGTTCGGGTTTGTGGCTATTGTTTCTTCGGTAACCACCGAGGCTGGCGATGGTGAACACCGTAGGTAACATGCTCAATACACCCAGTATTCGAATATGCCATTGTTTTATGATCCTTTCCATGTGCCAGTCACAAGTCAGGAAGTGGTGTGGGAAAGGAAAGACAACCCACCCATAGGTCTTCTTTACCCAAGCACCTCTCGCTCATATTCCATCCATCGTTCCATCCCTCGTTCGTTCCGTTCCCCCTACCTCATTTCATTTCCTACCATTCCGTTCTTAGAATTCCGTTCCTAGAATTCAGTTTTTATCGTCCCGTTCCTGTCTCTCCGTTCCTCTCGTTCCGTTGCTCTCATTCCATTCCTCTTATTACGTGTCTTTCCATTCCTCGGGTTTCTTTTATTTCGTTTTGTTCCTTTCAATCCGTTCCTCTCATTTCGTAACTTCGTACTGCGTCTCTCATTCCACCCATCCCCTCTCATTCCGCCCATCCCCTCTCATTCCGCTCATCCCCTCTCATTCTGCGCATCCCCACTCATTCCGCGCATCCCCTCTCATTCCGCCCATCCCCTCTCATTCCCCATCCACTCCAATCTGCAGAATTCCCCCCCCTCTGCCAATATTTCTCCTATCTCGACAAACCCTTCACTCCGGCATCCCCCCACTCGTCTCTTCAAATCCTCCCACTCATCTCTTCAAATCCTCCCACTCGTCTCTTCAAATCCCCCCACTCGTCTCTTCAAATCCTCCCACTCGTCTCTTCAAATCCTCCCACTCGTCTCTTCAAATCCTCCCACTCGTCTCTTCAAATCCTCCCACTCTCTCTTCAAATCCTCCCACTCGTCTTTTCAAATCCTCCCACTCCACTCTTCAAATCCTCCCACGCCTCTCTTCCAATCCCCCCACCCCTCTCTTCCAACCCTCCCACCCCTCTCTTCCAATCCCCCCCCACCCCTCTCTTCCAATCCTCCCACCCCTCTCTTCCAACCCTCCCACCCCTCTCTTCCAACCCTCCCACCCCTCTCTTCCAACCCTCCCACCCCTCTCTTCCAACCCTCCCACCCCTCTCTTCCAACCCTCCCACCCCTCTCTTCCAACCCTCCCACCCCTCTCGTCCAACCCTCCCACCCCTCTCGTCCAACCCTCCCACCCCTCTCGTCCAACCCTCCCACCCCTCTCGCCCAACCCTCCCACCCCTCTCTTCCAACCCTCCCACCCCTCTCTTCCAACCCTCCCACCCCTCTCTTCCAATCCTTCCGCTCCTCTCATCCAAACGTTCCCTTCCCCACTCTGTCAAACCCCGCCACGCTTCACTGCCAATATACCCATTCCACCCATCTCCACCCGTTTCTCCCCTGGTACACCCCTCTTTCATGCCTGTGACACTAACTACAGCTCTACCCCACCCGTGTCCCCAACCCTCCCTTCCCCTCTCTCCTTTTCTCATTTAATCACTTTCCTTTCTCCCTTCTACGTCTCCCCTACTCTCCCTCTGCCAATTATGCTTCTACCACACACCCTCGGCCATTTTCTCCAGGGTTAGATATATGTACCCCATTCCCCACCTCTGTCTTTCCTACAAGGGCATTCTCATCCCAAGGGCTTTGCTCAGCCCAGGACACTTGATTTCCCTTTGCTTCTCCCTTCCTCTGCCTCTCCCCTTCCATACCTACCACTCCGTCATATGTGCAGTGGCCTACCTATGGCCGGCAGTATGCTAGTCCGTCCATCTGCTGTGAGGGGAACACCTACCTCACCAACCTTAGTTGGGTCATTTACATCCTGGAGGCCCACGTACACGTAAAGTACGCGTGAACGTACGTGCACTTACGTTTACTACTTCGGGCAGTTACAATGTCTTCTCTTTGTATGTTTCTAACGTTGGCATTCCGCCTAAGTCTAGATCTTAGTAGTGTTAGTCAAGGCGTGATAATAAATTTCTCGTGTACGTTCATTAGAAGTAAAATGGGGCAGCACCAAAAAAGTTTTTAGCTGACCGTACATAAGGACATAATCTGGGAGGTGCGTAAACGTACGTAACGTAACTGTACGTGTACGTAAACATAAAGAGACGTACACGTAAACGTAAATGACCAACTTAGTCACCAACAATCAACTATACTCACGTCATGTCTGATTTGCGTGTGTTGTTTCCTTATGTGAATTGTACGTTTTAAGTGTCTGCACAGCCCTTGCACATTGTTTCCTTTGATAATTGGAATCTGAATATCAAATTGGTACTGAATGTCCGAGTACCAATTTGCATGTGTAATTGTTCTAAATATATCTCTGAAGAGAATTGTCCATACTTTTTTTTTCACATACCAGATGCTTAGGTATGTGCGCAACGTTGATTTTCTAGCGTACACCAAACAAATTATTTATTTCTGATTATCCTGCAAGCACACTATTTGCTTCCGAACCGCCGTGTCTCCATCAATACAAGCACGTTATCACCCCCTTCTTGTACAAGCAGAAGCTGCAGATCAGCATATCACTTCTCCCCCCCCCCCCCCCCCCCCCCCCCGAGCCAGGAAGGACCATAATCCTACGGTGAGGAGGGGAGGCTACGTTGGCGGATGCGACGCGATCATGCGATGCGACTGATGATTTGGTGGGAAAACAATCTACGGACAGGACGCGAGGAGCCCCGCTTCCAACTCAAAAGGTAAGAAAATTTGCCAAACAAGCTTTATCAGTCCATGAATTGGGTGCAAACACGGACTGGTAAAACAATTCCTACGACTCTGAATACCTTCGTTTCTTGGTTATTGCAGGGTGATTGGCCTTAGTCACAACACTGAAAACCCCTGTGTAACACGTGCGCGGAGCATGGACCATGCTTGGTTTTATACGTTCGGTGAAGTTCCATGCGACATACTAAATCGCGTTCGCAATTTCTTCGCGATGCGATCAAGCTCTTCAAGCACATGACTCGCGAGCATCGCTGTTGTGGTTACTCTCGCACTCTTCAACTGCTTGAACTTGTGTGCCCACATACTGTACTAATTACAAAGCAGGTGCGCTTGTCTTCCCAATTTCCCCAATCAATTCCACCAGCATTCGATCCAACCAGCTGATCCCGCTCAACCTCCCAACATTTCTTTCACGAAGTGCTGCTAATTCTCATCAACGCAGTTGTTGGTTACGTCTGTCGCCATGGATCGTCTCGTACGCCTCTCGATCTTGTTCCTCATGCTCCTTGCCATTGTTAGCGACGTCAACGGCCAAGTCAGCTACGGCCAGAGTGGCCTCGACTGAGGGGTAAGTGCCCTTGCTAACATCAAGATGTCAACGATATTGTTTTTTTATATATATGCAGTTCGGAAGGCGCTGAAACACAAAAGATTCTTCGTAGCTTACCGTTAGTCCAATTCGGGGATTTTTTCCCTTAGTGATAGGCGATTCCTGACTCCCTTCCTTTCATTCGCTTACAGGGGGACTGTCAGTCAGGCGAAAAGCAGTCGCCGATCAACATCGTAATGGACGAGGCGAAGGACATCGCGAAAAAATTCATGCACACAAAAGTGTGCACAGTAGCTTTTCTTGCGAAAAAGCTGCGGAAAAAACAACTCGAGCTGCGGAAAAGCTTTGAGAATCAATGTTGTGTGAATGTCACCACTCTGCAGCAACTGCAAAGTTACGAAAATGTCACTTCCGCCACTTGGTGTCTTCGTACATTCGTACCCAAATCGTAATTCAAGTGGTAGACAACGGTACAGGACGTTTTCTACAAGGCCGAGGGCCTAGAAAACGTTACTGGTCTGCTCGAAATTTAGGGAACCTAGGACTTCAAAACCCAATCCAGAAGCAGCGAGAGTGTTTCATGCAAACGAAATTAGCGATTTTCGCATAGTGTCGCTAAACACTTCCTACCAAAATTTTCCACCGAACCCAACTCTCAATGGGTTCTGTGCCAATCGAGAGAGGGAGCAAAAATGTTCCACCAATCAAAGTGATTTCCTTATCTCTACGTCAACTCCCCACACCTTCTCGAATGTTCTCTAAACCATTTCTTCTCAAACCAGTTCTTCTCAACCTTTTCATCTCTTCCATTCTCTATCATCGCTCAAACTCACAAGGCATTTGTTCATTCTCATATCTGGCCCCTTTCTCTCTTCAGATCTATCCCTCTTTTTTTGCTCCATTGGAATATTGCCCCAGTATGTGTTAAATTGTAATGTGTTATATGTTGGTAGGCTGTAGTGGGGTAGCCAATATGGGGTACAACCCCAACTAGGGTTTCATATTTGTACCCAAACTTCTGCTAGTTCATTCATTCTTGCCTAGTGATTCTGACATGGTATTCAGAGCAGGAGGTCCCTAGGACCTACCGACCGTTTTTTTTTAGGGCCCACCACCGCTCGCATGCGGTTACCACGCTACCCCGTGCCCTAGCCTCGTAGCGCCCTCGTGCGCCCTCGTTAGCGCCCTCGCGCGCCCCTCGTTAGCGCCCTCGCGCGCCCCTCGTTAGCGCC